TCAAACTGTTGACATTCTTTTCTATTAATTTTTTCCTTAGAATAATAAAGGACCTCTTTTTGCTGTCTCTCATGTATTTATAAAAGTGGTTAGGGAGTATTCCTGAGGAGACTAGGTGTTTGTAAGTAGAGTTGTGGGCTGGAGACATGGCTCAGCCATTAAAGGCTAGGCTTACAGCCAAAAAATAAGTAGTGTTACCAAGTCCTCAGAAGAAGGATTTTGGTATTATCACCTTTATTTTAAAAGTTTAATAATTGTGATTTCCTTCTTAAAAGCTTTCTGGAGTGCTATGCTGTATTCTATTTTAAAACCCAACGTGACCCTGTTGTGTTGTTTTACCTGTCCCCTGGCAGCTAGGAAACATACCTTTAGCTTTAGCCACTGGGCATTGGCAAAAGAACAGTCCTTCTCAGCTAGAACTTGGTAGACATATTCAGGGGATTATCAACCAAACTACCCCTTGTTTTATTGTAGAGGCCACGCTTAGAAATAGAACCTAATCTATTGCGTCCCGCCCTACCCCATTATCATGCTTTTTTTTTTTGAGACAGGGTGTTTGACATATAGCCTACTTTGAAGCTCACACTCCTGCACCAGCTCCTTAGTATTGGGATTACAGGCACCAGCTGCTGTGCCTGGGTTATTTATTTTTAATACTTTGAGAAAACCATGGCTCACATTGATAAAAATGTAGTTGAGCCAAATCCCAAGTTGTGGCTTCTCCTGGTGCCTGTTGGACCAAGCCAAATCTCTGAAGGACTATTGGAATAATTTAATAAGTTAAGGGCTACAAATATTTAATTCCATTGTTTTTCATAAACTATTTCATCTCTTTATATGTAAAGTGTCCGTCTCTTCCCTTCCAAATCAGTATGGCTAGATTTCAAGAAATACTGCAAAGCAAAAAGACTTCTGTGTAGCAAAACCTTTTCTGGAGCCAAGCAACCTCTCTGTCATTGTGTTGTATTCTCAACTGCTGATTCAGTCTTGGCAGCAGGGATGGTGCTTATAGGTATAGTATTGGTGGCAGTGTTACACAGTGTGGACGAGGTGGTATTTGCTGGCCTCTGAGTTCACTTGAGGATGTGTTTATATTTTTTGTATCACGGAGAACATTTATATCTACCCTGTGTGTTATGCCCAACACTGTACTAGCGTTTGAATTTGGTGGGCAGCTTGCCCTGGTAGATGGTATCTCCTGCCCCCAAATCTCTAGTGAATACACATAAGCACACCCTTGTCTCTTTGAGCAGCTGCCAGATTTTGTGTGTGTGTGTGTGTGTGTGTGTGTGTGTGTGTGTGTGTGTGTGTAGCGGTAGAATAGAGTGGGTAATTACTTTGAGGATGGAAACACAAGAATATTTTTTTCCTATTTGAATAGGCCTTTCAGCAAGTTGGCAAAGTGTCAGGGCCAGCTCCCACACTGCCACAAAGAGCAGAGCAACTCTGGTCATTATGCATTTGCTATGTGTAGTTTCTTTTGATTGGACAGACCTCCTTCTCCTACCTTCCTTACACTTCTCTTAGAATTGGGATGTAATCTAGATAATTAGATTTACCTGCTTGCAAGCTTAATATTGGAAAATTGACTTAATAAAAATGTTTTGGTATGCACATCTCTTATCAAGGCACCAGCACTGTATGGACTGAACTATATGGTTTCTCTTCCCTCACTGCGTGAACACACTTTGGTTTAGAGACTATTAGAAATTTCAGTAAAATTCAGTTATCCCAGAATTGGCTATTTTGTTATAGTTTTATTTCCCCAGAAATAGATGGTCACATATAAGAGTAAGGTCATCATTATGTACTGTTGAAGGCTGAGAAACCTAGAAAGAGGACTCCCACTCTCATATGAGATTCCTTGTGGAAAATTGCCCAGTAAGCATTCAAAGCTGTCTTGAGAAAGGAGAAAGGGCAGGGAAGAGGAAATACATCCATATGTACCCTTTGGGCTCACCCATGTTTATCCATTAGCCTTTTCTCAATTCACCAACATTCACTCACTCACTCACTCACTCATTCACTCACTCATTCATTCATTCATTCATTCATTCATTCGATTCTGTGCTTTGAATCAGAACATAACTAATGCAAAGAAGCATTGAGAGCTGCCTCAGGAACCGATACTATGGAATACATATATGTATTCATAAAAATGCTATGATACTTTACCCTCAATGATTTTTTTTTTTTAAAGAATTTGGGGTGTGTGTGTGCCCACACTCATCGGTATGTGCACATGTGTATGAGCCCAGAGGACAAATTCAGGTGTCCTTGTTGATCAGTCTGCTTCACATTTTGAGACAGTGTCTCTCATTGAGTTAGGCTGTGGGGACAAGAGCCCACAGTTATTATTATGTCTCTGCCTCCCCAATTGCTGGGATTATAGGCTGGAGTCATAGCCCTCAATCTAACTTTTACATGGATATGTTGGCTGAGACTCAGGTTCTCGTGTTTGTGCAACAAACACTTATTGAGCTATCTCTCTAAGTCCTCCCTACATTGTTTTGATTGGTTTTGTCTCAGTTTTCCTGTTAGGGTTTTGGGTTTGCAGTATGCCTGGCCTTAAGGGGAAGCAAACGTTCATCTGGCTGTTGGCAATACCATTTAATACCAAATAAAAGGGAAATTGGGAATCCAGTTTGTTGTTTGTAATTTCAGGAATAGGAGGGGAAGGGAGAATTAGATTGTCTCTTCCTTGAAGTTCCTGTGGCTTTATCAAGAAGTACAGATGGTGACAACTTAAAGTTGTAGGGCTGTCAGCCCACATGGTTCATGACAGGAACCTCTTCCTTGTCCTAACAGACTGTATCTGTGGATGGTTGTGTGGCACATGATACCAAGAGTCACACTCATCTGACTCTGGATACTGGTGATGCTGGTGAGCCACATGGCTCGGTTGCTTCTAGTTATGATGACAGTAGTGAACACATGGGTTTATTGTTAGATTTTCTTTGTGGAACCAATCTTTGGCCTATCTTTTTTGGATACAGTTCCAGTGGATTGATCAGCACTTTTACCCAGAACAGAGCCTTGTGTGCCCTCTACTTAGTAGCTCCTGGAGCAGTGTATCTGGTGATCTACATCTATGTGTGCAGGCAGTCTCTCAAGAACTTTAATTGTTATGTTTGTCTACCTCCATGTTCTCAACTGTCTGCCTCCCAAATCAAGAAGTACAAGAGTTGTGTACTTATGGCAGCAATGTGGTACTCTCCTTATCCTTGAAGACAATTATGGAAGTGTTGTTTTGTACATTTTGTCTTTCAGTAAGCCATATTGATGAGGCTGTAGTAAAGTGCTAAGTAAAAGGACAGAGAAACGGGTTTAAGGTTGAAAGGTTGGCCATGGTGATGCATTACTTTTTAGGATGGCTGAATCTTCGAGGGGACTTTTGCGATAAAAACCTTAGGTAATTCCTTAAATTAACAGTCTATATCTGCTAGAGAAAAGCTAAAGAAATAAAGACCTGAGATCAGGAACACATCTCCAGTAAGCATCTTCCTTATAATATAGCACTAAAAGTCTAGCGAGAAACCGCTGTCAGTATCAGACACTACGAGGGATTGGTAATTGTACCTAATTTGAACAATACAGTAAGGAAAATAAGAAATAAAAAGCAACAGGTATACTGACGTTAAACATCCTTTGCAATAGTATTGGAGTCAGTGTCATGCAAACAGTATGCTCAGAGCATTATCTTTTTGCAGAGTGCTGGCAGTGCAGTGCACACCTTTAATCCCAGGAGGCAGTGGCAGGCAGATCTGTGTGAGTTCAAGGCCAGCCTGGTCTACAGAGTTCTCCAAAGCCACAGAGAAACCCTGTCATGGGGGTGGGGAGAGATTCATTTCAAAGTAACAATCTAGTATTACAGGCAAAATACATTTTATTTTACCTTGTGCAACTTAACATCTAAAAATTTTAACTTCATGAATGTTCTAAGCCCTAACATTATGTCTGAACCTCATGCCTTACTTAATTAGTGAAATTATCTCCTTGAAATCAAGTTGTCTGTCATTTTTTTCAAAACTTCCCTTCTGCCCTAATCAGTTACATACTTCAAAAGTCTGCCACCCATTTCTAAGTATTGACACTAGATTAAAAGAAGGAAACATGACTTCGATACCTAACTGCACCTCAGAAATTGGGATTCAGGAGCTGAATAAGCACGAAGACTTGTGGTGTAGTTCCTAGATCCCTATCTTGGTAGATTTTCAGAAAGGTGATCATTGATGCTTGTTGACTGCCAGCCTACCTTCAGATTCAGTAGAGACCCTGTGGGAAAATAAGAAAAGCGGATGGTGACAGAGCAGGATGCCTGGTGCCTTCCTGGCCTGCAAACAAACCCAGTGCCATTGGCACCTAATTGTCCATACAAGCACAGATCCATCAACTGAAGCTTGGAAAGCTCTTCAGAATTTGGCAATAATGTGGGAGTTTTATAGTAACACAGTATTACTACAAATCCAGTCAAGTTGAACAGACACAGAATAGGGAAATTAGGCAATTACAGGTATCTCTATATCATAGAAACTGCTTATTTGCAATCAACTGTCTTGTAACTGGTGTGGTGTCTGCAGCAGGAGGGTTGGAGGGAAATGACATCTATCATGAGGGATATAATAAGGCAAGGAAATTGTGGGTATACTTGTGAAATAGTGGGCGGAAACCTAGGGTGCTGTTCAATGTGTGGCCCTAGGTAATTAGAGACAGTTTTAGATGGTCTCGATGGAGTCCAGGCTAGTATTGTACTAATGTTCTTGTCTCCATCACTCACAGTGTACACATTCTGCAATTCTACATAAAACAGTAGCTCCTTAGACAGGCACCAAAAAGCAGGCTGTAGTTTATGAGAGTAGGAGAGTGATGTAGAACCTTAATTCATAAGAGTTTACTTGAGAGATTGTGTGTTTCTTCTTCTATGTACCATGGTTTTATCGCTGCATATAAGACTTTATCTTCCTGTCTCTGCTTAATTTACTTTTCTTTTGCTGTTGAAGGCCCAGGCTGCAAGCACAAAGAAAGTTTGCTCAATCTCAGCCGAATAGTCCCAGCACAACTCCAGTGAAGATTGTGGAGCCTTTGCTACCCCCGCCAGCTACTCAAATTTCTGACCTCTCTAAAAGGAAGCCTAAGACAGAAGACTTTCTTACCTTTCTCTGCCTTCGAGGTAAGTAAGCTTTCAGTACAGATGATGTCACTGTGTTGTCCTCACATCTTTGTCAGTTCTCTGTTTGATTCTAGGGCAGATTTTTGTTGCTTTTTAAAAGATACTTTTACTATGTATCCCTTGCTGGGCTCTGTGTATATGGCTTGGAATTCATAGAGATCTGCCTGCCTCTACCATCTCCATTGTAGAGTTAAAAGATGTGTGCTATATCCTTCCTGGTCCTGCAGTTTTTTGCTTATTTTTTCTCTTTATGTGTTTGTGTGCATATCTGCGTGTGTATGCCACCTATGTTGTCTCCTACATTTATTTATTTATCTAGCTATTTATTTATGTGTGTTTTGCTCACACACATGCATGTGCTCCACATGTATGCAGTGCTGGAGGCAGTTAGAAGAACTTGTCCATTCCCTGGGACTGGAGTTAGAGGTGTTTGTAAGCTACTGTGTGGGTTCTGTGACTTGAACCCAGGTCCTCTGTAAGAGTAGCCAGTGTTCTTAAACCCGGAACCATTTATTCAGTACCACTTTTTGTGTTTCTGATAGTGTCTTACTATGTGGCTCTGGCTGACCCGGAATTAACTGATGAAAGGAATCAGCCAGCAAAATGATTTTGGTGTTAAGATAACAGAAGTTTGCTTTACCCTCATGGAGTTTAGTTGTGTGATTTTTTGGCTTTTTGAGACATGGTTTCTCTGTGGCTTTGGAGGCTGTCCTCGAACTCACTCTGTAGACCAGGCTGGCCTTGAACTCACAGAGATCCACCTGCCTCTGCCTCCCGACTGCTGAGACTGAAGGCGTGCGACACCACCACCCGGCTGGTTATGTGAATGGACTGTAATTAGGTGTTGAAGATGGGCAAGAATCAAGGACTGTCTGAGTGACAATATGTAGAGCAGTACCTGTGTGTATGTGAATTGTTTTAAAAATCTATCTTCTCTATTCTGGGTGGTTGGGGGCAGGACATGTAATAATAATAATACCTGGATAAAATTTTTACCAATCATGATGCCTTGATTGAGACATAAGAGAATCATCTTTTATAGCCAATCATCTTTGCAGCAAAGTTTAAGTGAAGCCTGGACTAGACTAGTGAGTATACTAAAAGAACCAGGCAACAAAAACACTTTGCTTAGTTTTGGCTGGTGTACCATGTGGATTCTTATTATACTCCGTTCCTAATTTTTCTTACAGGTATTAGATATGAGCTATTTATAAGTGAGAGTCTCCTTCAAAGTCTTTTGTTTAGACCCTCATAAGTTTCCTTGTCTGACTCCATAAACCCTAGAGGATACTTGTTGTACCCTGCCTGTCCTGGATCCTCGGTGGGCCCAACTGTTATTTTATGGTGGGCCCATAATAGCTTTGGGTATGGAAAATTTGTATTTTGTACCGTATAGGGGTTGTGTAGATAGATGACCCCTGTAATGTGCTTATTTCAGAGTAATTTGAATTGGAGTTTTAAGTTACAGAAAGTTGTGAAAGCTATCTATAACTTCTATGTTCAGTTTTAAGGAAATCTTGGAATTTCACTAATTCCAGATTCACATTGATATATGTTCCTAACTGTGTTATCAATAACTATAAGATCTGTACATTTTTAGGCAGTCAACAGTTTGGAAACCTTGTATTGTTTTTAGTATGCTTGCTTGTTTCTTTGTCTTTCCTTTTGAAGAATGTAGTCATTCATCCTTAGAGGAGAGAAATTGGTCCTTTTTTTTTTAATCTTTAAAAATTCCTCTGCATGTATGTACTTGTGTGCTGTGTGCACACTCACAGGTACCCTCAATGAGTAAATGCCCTTGTCTATTTTCTGAGAATGTGAGCTGCCTGATGTGGGTGGAAGATACCAAATTGGTCTGGGAGGATGGGAGGTACCTAGTCATGTCTCCAGCCCCCAGCATTTGGTAAATTAATTTTTTTATAGGAAAGTCTGGAATAAATCAAATGCATGGAAGGGATATTTTTGGCCAAAGACTTGAGTCATTCTATAGGTTTCAGGTATTTCCCTTAATAGTTTAGAATATTGAAGTGCCTAAGTGATGGGGCCACAGGAAATAACAAACCCTGTTTGTTATTCATCAATGATGACTAGAGTCAAAGTCCTCTCCTGAAAATTCCTTTAATTATAAACAAAAACCTTGTGGCTGGAAATTCTATCCGTATAGGATTGTTGTAGTTGATGTATATACTACCTAGTGATTTGGGTTGGGAGCCCCAGAGCTGAACATTGCAGACTCAATACACTGTGAGACTGTCAGGTCTTCATGTTCCCCTCCTACTTAAGCCACACCCTAGAACTTTAAGGAAGCCAAGTAGAGTGAACCTGAAATGTTCACCTGCTGTGTATTTATCTTTAAATAGCTGCTTTAAAGGGGTGCACATGTTTCTTGCCAGGGCATAATTAGTATCTTCCTAGGAAGTATCTTCCTAGGAAAAGAGAGCCTTGTATGTATGCATGCTGTGAGCAGCGACTCAGCACCATTGCTGTATTTTCTGTCACCAATCTCATTATTCTTAATGAGTTCTGTCTTCTTCTCTTTGTTCTGACCATAATTATTAAGAGATTTAAAAGAACTTAATGCAGCAGAGCAATGTCAGGTTAAATGATTCTCTTATTTACATTTTTCTTTTTATGGGGCACTGCAAATGAGGGGGGTTCCCAAAGGGGACTCATGAAACAAACACAGAACACAGTTTATTCTTAAGACCATGGCTGTCACAGTGCAGCTCCTAGTTCTGCCCAGTGGAGGGAGTCTATGGATTTAAGGGAGGGGAATTGCATCCGCAGTGGAGGGGTGGGTTTGACTCTCCCATGCCCAGGCCACAGCGCCTTTGGGCCAGCTAGGGTCATGACCAGCTCTGGCCCTTTCAGCCTTTTTGCTCATTTATAAAGTGAGTAAAGCTAGTGGTTGTGAAATGGGTTCTAGTGACTGCCTGAGAGGCAGTTGTCCAAGCACATTTATTTGCTGTTTTACACCGAGGTACCAGAGAGGTCACGGCATTCGACTGAGGTATGGATAGTCTAAAAAGTATTCTCAGATACCCTGTCTAGGTAACACTGGACAGCCCACCAGTGGAGTTTTCTATGTAGACACTGCCTGTCCCTACCTGGAAGGTATGAGTATTGAGGAGAATTATAAGAAGGGCTAGTTCAAAAGTCTGGGGTGATTTAAAGGTCACATACCGAGAGGTGATTTCCTACAAGAAAGTGATCAATCTCCTGATTGAAATGAGCATGGTGGTTGCTAATAGCAAACTGTCTTTAGGAAAATAGGAATGGAGGAAGATACCTGTACACATAGATTTTCAGGTTACTTTTGTAAGGTAGTTTAACTTGATTTCTAAGCATCTATCACAGTGAATTCAGCCTGGTTTGCTGGCCTCTGTGGCTAGCCTGCCTGCCTTCTGCTTTCCCTAAGTAACTCTAGCCTAATGTTCTGTATTCCCTTAGTGTCTCCTTTTTGCTGACATAGTCATTTGTTTGTTAGGATCATTTCTTGGCTAGTAATGAAGAAATCATTGGAGTTTTTGATCAGAGAAGAGAAGGATGAATCCTTTTATAATTGCCCTGTGACCTTGACTCTGAGGTTTGGCCAGGCTTCAGGCCAGCTCACCTCTCACCAGGTCTACCTGCAGGAAGGTAAAAAACAAATCAGTCCCCATGCCAGGTGTCTGGCCTGGCTGCAGTGGTGCATTCCAGAATACCTTCTGTCTTTCTCCTCAGCATCTCACTTAATGTGTCTTGTGCCTTTTGGAACACTTTGAGAGAAGTGGGAATGGAATTTCTCAGTGATAGCATTGATGTTATGTTGCATAGGAGCCTTGCTGGCTTGTGTGGATATCATACCATGGGTTGCTTGAAAGTCCCTGCTGCTTGTGCTCTGCACACAGGAAACTGTTTAGTGTCTCTGGGAATCTAAAAAGGTTTTGCATAAATCTTAAATTCATGTTTGAACTTGATGGTTTAAAGCCACTAACTGGAAGTTGGCAGATCCCAGTTTCCTTATTTCTGCTTCTCAGCTTGTGCTAATCGTCTTGTGGCTAGGAGCTGCTCATGCTGAACACCATCACAGCTAGTGTGTGGTGCGGTTTGCATCCCAGACTTGTGGGGAAACAAACACAAACACGCACACACACACTTTGGTGATTGAACTTTATTGAGCAAAATGGTAGTAGTTTTTGGAGAGGCAGATCCCTTTTTTGAGGTGTGTTCCATCATAATTTTTATATCTGTGTTTGTATTTGAACCTACCTGTACAGAGGCCATTGGGAAAAGTTTGGAAGGTTCTTTGTCACCTTGTCTGCTATGAGGGAAATGGTGCCCATTATTCTGAGTCCTGAGTTCATTGTCTTTCATGCCATGACAGTTTAATCCAGTCTTCCACACGAGGGATTTGTTCTATTAGGGATCAGGCGGCCAGCATCTGGCAGTATGATTCACGGCAGTATGTCCACGGGAAGCTATCACCTCACATGCTGCTTGTCTCAGACAATTGAACAAGGCTCACCCTTTTGTTTCTTTTCCTTTCTTTCCTTTGTTTGTTTTTGTTTTGTTTTCTAAGACAGGGTTTCTCTGTGTAGGTTTGGTTGATCTGGAACTTGTTCTGTAGACCAGGCTGGCCTTGAAATCACAGAGATCCACCTGCCTCTGCCTCCCTAAGTGCTGAGATTAATGGCATGTACCACCACCCCCGACTGCTTACCCCTTTTGTAACTTTGGAGAACATTCTTTTTTTCACTCTCCTGGAGTCTGGCTTTGTTTACATCCCATTTGTGAAAGAAGACAGGAAATAAATTACCTATTCTCATTTACATAACAAGAATGAGATTTTATTTTTAAATTAAATTCATTTAATCAGGGTAATGGTTTGTCACGCAAGCCAAGATCAGAAAACAACTTGGGGATTTTGATTCTTGCTTCCTACCAGCATGGGTCCTGGGATCAAATTCGGTGGTAAATATGTTTATTCACTGAGCCATCTCACCAGCCGTAATGACAAA